ACTGCCAGCTGGTTGCTCGACCATAAACGCTTTGCCTCGTCTCAGCTGCGAAATTGCGACTCGTCCGCTAAGGCGTCCCAAAGTTCTGCTCCGCATCTGAGACTTCTTCCAGGCTTCGGGATTGATCTGTCGGTTGAGGTTGCCCCATTTGCAGTAACCTGTGCATGGGGGTGCCATGAGCACCACTTCTGGGTCGTTGCGCTCCAGGTAAGTGAACAGATAGTCCACGTCCTGCTTCTTAGTGAGATCAACGCCACACATGATCTCAAAGTTGATTCCAGCCCTTCTGCCAAAGCGTCGGACCAAAACATGTGTGGTTGTTGCACCGCCACCAAATAGTTCACAAACATCTACGTAGCTGCCTCCTCCCTGGCTGCTCAAGGCTACCAGCTCTGCGATGTGGTGAACTCCACGTTCTGCCCAAACCTCTGCTGGTTGTTCGGTACCGCTCCCGTGAAAACAGCTACGGAAGCATGCTCCAAAGTCCACAAAGTAGTTCGGGCATTCGTCATGTAGAACGAGATCGTTGTCTGTGGCGTGAGCAAATTGTGACTCAACGCCCAGGGGCGTCATATCTTCACCGCAGTCATCATGATGTTGTTCAACCACCTTGCGTCGGGGTTGCGCAACGTGTCCCGCGGCCTTTTGCGCCTTCTGCCGGATTGCGTTCTCAGTTGGGAATGCCAGCTGCTCATGTTTGTCCTCTTTCTCCCCTCCCGATGGCTTGGGCTGATCAGCATACTGATCTAACAGCGGTCTCCCGGACATGTGTCCAGCATACCCCAGCCGTCCACCATCAGAAGAAGAGGAAGCGACAAACACTTGCGCAGGTCCGGCATTACCAACCAAGTCCTTCCAGTGCTGGCAAGTCTTGAGGTAATCCGTGCTGTCGTTGTCATTGCTTAACTCAGGTTGCCTGCTGATAGGTCTGGCTCCGGCACCCACCATGGATGCTGCCACGAGCAGGTACATGGCCAACTTGGCCATCACTCCACGCTCTCTTGCATGCTTCTGCTGCGCATGCATTCTCTTTTGATGCACATGTTGAGTGCCCTTCGGACATCGGCACTCGGCTTGTGAGGTCACCGGGAAGTTTGTGACCACCTTCACTATGGAGTTGCATGGGCCCATGCTGCCAAGGCTGTCATAGTCTTCCAGCCTGCACCACAAATGTTCGGAAACAAACATCTGCCCAGCTGCCTCCCGAATAGGTTGCAGTGACCACACCTGGCTGTTGTTGTTTGCTTCCATGATCACCAAGCGTTGAGCGGATGCTTGGCTTCTCATCAACCGGCAAAGATGTTCTGTCCGGTGGATGTCCAGCTTGTTGCCAGATCCAGCGTGTGGTCCTGCAAGGCGTATCCACATTACGTGTGGGGCAGCCTCCGCCTGATGCCGTGAGTGAAGGTCATGGAAAAAATGAATTGTCTTCATACCAAAACTTTGCAGCATCTGCTGCCTCATCCCATTCCGGTCACTGAAAACCCAAGCCACCGCTGACCCAAGGTTTCAGTGAGAGCGCTCTTCTGAAGCGCTCCATTCTCCGGTCAGTTGGTCTTCGCCGGCTCCACGACGCGCCTGCAGCCCATCGCGAAGTCCAACTCCTTGCTGCTCTTGAGGCTCGCGCGGCTTGATCGGGAGAATGAAGTGAACTGTCCGCCAACTCGAGGGCGAACACCCTGGTGCCGGGCGAACCCTCCATCTGAACTCCACCTTCTCCGGGAAGTATGATGGTGCAGTCCAAAATGGCTCGATGCTTGCGCAGCGCCTTGTTGCCCAGCAAAGGCGGCAGATTGCGTCCGCCGATCACCGGCGCCGTGTAGGAGCTGTCCAGCAAGCCCCCACTCGTTGCCTCCAATGCCATCTCGATCTTGGCAGACATGACAGACCTTTGGCTGTTCTGGCCAACTCCTTCCACATCAAGTGCACGGTTCAGCTTCTGGTTGTGGATCTGGCTGTTGACCTGGGAGGCCATCTGCAACATCGTACCTTCGCCAACGAGGTTGTCATGAGCTCCCGGATCAATAAGCAAACCAACCTCACCGTTGCGAATTCTGGTGCGCAAGTGGTAAGTCTGAGGCGTGGCCTCTTTGCTCTGCCCACTCTCCCACCACGGAAACACTGAGCTCCGTCCATCATCACCGCTAGCACTTCCACCGCCGCGTCGATCCAGTCCAAGCAGCAGCCTCGTCAAGCCAACAGTGTTCTGATGCCTGAGGTCCTCATCTTCCTTCTCGGGCTCTCGCACCTGCACCGTGCTCAGATCTGGGGCTCGTCCAGGTGGAGGATGAAGAGGATCTCGGGCGCCTTCCACCAACAACGGGGCTTGGCCAAGGAGCTCGTGAGGGAGATCGCGCCACAACAGCTCCGAGACGGAGACGTAGATCAACTCACTGGTCAACACCTCACGGGCCTCATGCTGCTGGTCACGGTACTTGCTCGGAGGCACGCGCCCCTGGATGCCGAGAACAGTACCAAGGCTATCAGCGAGTTTCTGAGGTCTTGCGCATCAGAGCAACACAGCAGGGTGGCTTCAACATGGGGCACAGTGGACTGTCATGGCTGTTGCTCCAAGCGCTGCAGATCAGCCCAGACGGATGGGAACGGCTCCTTGCTCCCCTTCATGGTGCTCTTCCACAAGATGAAGGCCAGTTCAATGCCCTGGTTGAGAGAGCCAGGAGATCAGGCCATGTGCGAGAAGGGCGATATCAACAACCCCGGCAACTACCTGGCATACCCCACGTTTGATGGACCTCCTGACGCAGGCGGAGCCAATGATCCTTGGCTACCCGGAGGAGGCGGTGATCCGTGGGGAACTAACATGGATCCCAACATGGGCAACTTCCCTGGAGTGGTGATTGCGTTCCACGCTCCAGGCTGGTGGCACTTTGAGCGTAGCCGTACCCACAAACGGGGGACCGGCATCCCCCACGGGAGCAAAGCTCCTAGGTCCGTGAGGTCCGTGTCGTCCACCTTCACGCGGGCGAAACACATTCTGCATGCAGGCCACCATACTGAGCACGAGGACACCATAGTGCAGCGGCCAGAACCATCGTAGCTTCTGCTGCCACCCATCTGGTTCTCCATGAAGCCGCCGTGTCCTGCTCCGTGTTCGCGATCTCGATCTCGACCGGGCATGATCCTGCGCTCATCCAGCCGCCAGTTATCCACCACGATGTGTCGAGCTTCATGGCGGGGAACAACATGAGTGGTCCTCTCATCTTCCAGCTCGTGCACCGCGATGCCTGGCGGGATTGGCCCACCCTCGCTCGGGAGGAAGAACTCCGTCCGCAGCCGCACATGAATGCGGCATGGTCTCACACCTTGTTGGCTGAATGAGACCTCCCAGTAGTCAGCCACGTCTTCGGCTGAAGGCGTGGCCAAGGCTGTCGGGACGGTCTTGCCGTCCAGCACCTTGGCGGGCTCCAGGTCGTGAGTGACGTTGGGCATCTGCACGTCGTGCTGTTCATCCTCCTTGGCCAGGTGGATGATCTCCGTCATCAGGCTCATTGCCAGCAGCAGCATCACCACGTAGATGCAGCTGCAAAAGCACCATCTCATCATACTGCAGCGGCAGCAACAGCTTGCCAACTTGGCGATGCTGTTGCATCTGCTGCTGCAAGCAGGTCCTCCTGGAGCACCTGCTCCGCTACCAACTCGAACTCACCCAAGCGAAGCGGCCTCCCCATCGCAGCACCGCCCTTTCTTCCGGCAGCGCCCATGGCTGGGCGAGTCATCTCAAGGTAGGCCCGAGGGGCCTGTACAGAAAAGTGTTCTTGGGCCTGCAGGCTCCGGGGAAATACCGCTAAACTGTGTCGACATAGAGCTTGTAGTTGATGGTCTCAAGCGCGTAGGAAAGTCCTACGGCTGATAACCTGTGATTCGGGCACGAGCCTGTGCCCAGGCAATGGGTTAGTTGGGGTAAACAAGCCACAAAAGAAAGGTTCCCCAAAAGCAAACCAATCCCCGGTCCCAAAGATCAGGGTTTCCCACACACCAGAGAACAACAACCAAAATGAAACAAACCAAAAGAGAAAAGGGTTAACCCGCAACCTTGATCGACAACAGGCCGCACGACTGGTCCCTACCAACCTGGCGGCGGCCCGAGGTCTCTTTCTCCCCCGAGAAGCCGTCGGTCGACGCAGGGGTTCGGCGACGCCCATTCGAGGCGCGACGGAACCCGTAAACTTGAGCCAAAACACCACAGGTCGGTCACTACCGCGACGTCCCTGATGATGATATGAACCATGGCTAATCACACTTTCTAAAGGATTTTACAACCATGCAGATAACCATATTCTAGCCACCTACTACACCACCCAGACATACTGCGAACCTGGTACAAGGGGTACACCCAAAGCCCACAAAGATCCGCCCTGACTTCTGGCAAAAGAACCACTTTTACTGCTTGCTCCCATTGACACCGCCATTTTCGAAGGTCCGAAACTGGGTGTTGAGGACGCTCTGTATGGTTCCCCCAGCAGCACCCAGTGGATTCAAATAACTCGGAAAAGACGGAATTGAAGATACGAGGGGTTTTTCAAGTTGAAGTCATTAACAAAATCGCACACCCATAAAATCAGCTTGCCTCCAAGTGGCTTGGATTGGTGGTCCCAAACAAAGCCAACTGCAAGAGCCATGGGTTTAGTTTTACTCCAGAGGGACACCTTATCAAGACCCCTCAGGGGTCACCGGCCTTCCCCTTAAAAGTTGCAACTCACCGGTGGCTTGCCTTTGAGGGGAAATGGCTCGGAAAGTCGAACCGGGACACCACCATTGGTTTGTAGTTGACCCGTCTGCAAGTGTCACTTTTGGTGGGCCCAATGAAAAATACCCACAGTTTCAAGCAAACAGTGAAAGTCCAAAGATCCCTTGCCAAATGGCCATAAATCAGGTACCCCTTAATTTTCGGTTTGGATTGGTCCCACCCAACCCACCGGGCTCTAAACCACCAATTTGAGAGAAGCTGACCCAAAAAACCGCGAGGTCAAGGCCCCCGCCTGTGGGAACTGCGCCGCGAGGGCCTTCTCCGAACGCGTCTTTGCCCGCGTCCAGCAAGGCCGCCTCCTGGTCGGCTGGGCAACCAAGCAGACACCAAAAAAAAGGCGAGAACTTAGGACACTGAGCAACTGTAAACAGCAGCGCTAAAACAAACTAGGCTTTCAGGAGGTCCCTTTCTGCTGTTGATTTGTTGCAGCCCTACAAACGGACAGCAACCTAAAAACATGCCGAGAACAGTGAAGAAGTCAGGCAGTTGTTGAGGGTAAAGGGGAAACAACCCAGCCGGGGCTCCAAGCCACCAACTATTGGAAAGCAACAAACGGTGTTTGTTTGTCTGTTTTGCAGCCTACCAAAACGAACAGAACAAAAAGACTGCAAAACCTAGAAACATGCCAAGAACAGTGAAGTCAGACAACCCTCAATTGATTGATGAGGTTGCTGGGAGTGCAAATGGGGCTTTGGGTCCGGATTTTTGAGTGTTGGGGGTGCAAATTTGTGAGTAAGTACAAATTCAGGCAACTGGATCCGGTCCCCTGTCCGAAGCGGACGCGCTTCATAACGGCTCCGGCTTGACCGGTGCAAATATTGTGGGGGACTGGCGCCAGTCTCCGAAGGGCTCTCACCGAGCCGACAGGCCACGCAACGCTTCTCTCTCCATGTAAATCATCAGACTTTAAAGCGGAGGGGCGAGTTCGCTTCGAAGGGTTGGTGTTGTACTAGTTGCTCGTTCCAAGTTCTACAATTGCTGAAATCATGTTTGGTTTCCTTGTTTCCAGATTGAAAGCGCGTGGTAAACCCGGTCAAGCGTCGATTTCAGCTGTCATAGACGCTTGGCAAGAGAGAAGCCCCGGGAACAAGCGGACCGAGTCAAAGCCAAAATCAGAAATACCAAGCAAGGTCCGACATGAGTCGACCCAAGCGCCTGCTCAATCGATATCCAGCCTCAGAGTCTGGGCCAGCGATTAAGGGCCCAGATTGTACACCATGTGCCCAGAGAGCGCAAATAGAAGCGGCAGTTGATATAGATTCAATTGCTAGAATCAACGAAACATCGTGTGTGCTTTACAATTCACTTCGAAACCTCACGTGTGGATCTTGGCCCCCCTCCCCCTCCAGCCTCCCCCCCTCGTGGTCCTGTGGTGGAGCGTTTGAACAAAAGTCTCAAAGGACCTAAAACCCGCCATCATCCAAAGTCCAAAAGATCAGCAAAGCGCACAGAATCTGATGTCATCCACTCGCGCCTTCAAAGCAGCGTTGAACCATAAATTAAGCCTCAGGCTGCACTGCCTCGCTCTTGGCCTCGCTCTCGGCCGCGCTCTTGGCCTGGTTGGAGCTCTTTTTGGGCTTGCTTTATTGGGGAAACCCCCCATCTTGGTCGGCTCACCCAATTGAGAGGCAAACCAATATTCACATGTTTGAAACGCAAGGTCCATGAAAAATATAAATCCAAATATTATTGGTCTTTTATCTCATCCATTAAACCGTGTAACCTGGATAATTATGAAGCAGACAAACAAAGGAAAAGAAATCATTAAATCTAAGATAATAAGATACAGATATGACATGGAAAAGATTATGAAAAGGATCTTATTATCTCATTATCTTCATTCCAGGATTTCGCTAATAATAAAACCATAAAGACCAACTAATATTAATTCTGATAGAAATTCCATAAGCTAATAATAAAGGGAAAAGGAATGGATATTTGGTTTCTCATGGAATTGATTTCTCTTTATCCACATCTTTGCTTTTCTGTAATAGCAGCTTCTGGTCTTTTCTTTTACTTTCATTACCTGTCCTATGAGTCCTATGTGTAAGTCTTAGAATTTCATATGTTATTAGCATTTAATATTAGTTCAATGAGCATCCAATCACGGACTAACCCAGGCTCGCTAAGCACCTAAGACCATGTTAACGAATATCGGCAATAGACCCTATCCCTCATAGCCTAGGCCCATAAGCCAAGAAACACCTTACGGTGCTTAGGGGCGGGTTGCGGAAAGTGTGCGGTTCAGCCAGTTCAAGCCGAACCACACATTCGCCAGACGCGCCTCCGTAGGGCCTTCCTTGTGGGCATACTTTGCCTGGCGTCGCATGACTCTTCTGTGAACGAATGCCACCAGGTTTTTGATTAGTGACAGTGTGAATTGGATTCGACTAGAGCTTGCCAAAAATGAGCTCACCCATGAAGGTGCTTTGCTGGGAAAGAGGGAACCAGACGAGGATGATCAAACTGGTCGGATTCTTCACGGCCTACGAAAGATTTCGCAACCGATGGATTGTTTTCCACGTTTGGACGCGTTCGAGTCACAATCGATCGAAAACACGTCGCAGCACTCTGATCTCGCACACCCGGGCCGAACCCGCCTTAGCCCCCCCGGAGAGAAGAGCAAACGCCTCGACAATTGGGCCGTGAACTTCAGTCAGCGCATAATTTGCATCGGAACCTCCACAAACCATTTCTTCACAGGCATGTACACTGGGAAGCTTCCCTGCACATTCCCGCACAGGCTAAGGGGGTGACTAAACCAAAATGGACTGCAGGGATTCTCGTTAGGTTGAACTCATGTCAAAGCCATACCACTAAGTCGAGTCACTAGGCCACTGAGACCTGTTCCTCAAAGCGGAGGTTGCCAGGGTTTGCACTAAGTGCCACCGTATCACCAGAAGCTCACTTGTACGGCCCTTCCTTAGGAGAAAAGTACCACCCGTGGGAAAACTAGTGCCCAAACAGCCCGATGTCGGGCCTCAACTTACGACTCATTGGCTCGGCAAAGCTAGTGTCCACATGGTTCTTCAAACGAACACCGAAGGAAAACGACCAAGGGCCTCTACAGGTTGTAAGCCCCGAATGACTTGTGTACCCCTCTCAAAGGCTTGGGAAAACTGGGTTGTCCCGTTCGAAAGGTGCGATGTCCCCCATGTCCGCCCGAAACGAACAAAAGACTACCAATCAACGGAAGTGTTAAGGTGCCAAACTTCCATGCACATAGCCGAGGAGCGAGTGAACAAATAGGAACATGTAGCAAACATCCAAACGGGTGCCTTTTTTTGGGGCAGCCCCTTTTTGACTTTCTTGTGGGTGCTAAAGGGAAAAGCTTGTACCACTTCTGCTGTGCCAGACTTAGACCAGCACAAAGTTTGACGTGTTGCTTGTCGAAACGACAAACCACAACATGTAAGCCAAGTTTGGACAGGCCTTGCTTCCGACAGAGAGCTCTGTCAAGGTGTGCTTCAAGCAGCGAACCACAATAACTCCAACTAATCCGCTCTTCAACAGGGGCGGGATCCAGGTGGATCCCCCCGAACTCCACAAAACCGCTTGGCACACAAAGGAAGGAACCCGCCGCTCACCTCCACGGGCTGGTAGTTCAAGAGCTGGCACCAAACGAAGGAGCCCACCACCTGCAGCCAACTTGACTTGTGCTCTTGCACGTTGCACATGGTTCTGTCAAAGGCCATTGTGACAACGGCCACTCTTGAGGGTATCAACAAATGCAAGCGTCTCGCCTGGTCATGCGTCGGCAACATTTGGGCGGTTCTTGTCTCGGTCGCAGCAACGCCCACCTGCAATCCATGCATGCATTCCTGCTTGAACCCACTAGCAATGGGTGCAGCATGCAGCTACTGTCTCAGCGGACACTTGGCAAGGTCTGGACCCCACCAACTAGCAACTGACAAGGTCATGCCATGGTATTGCAATGCCCAGCTGCAATCCCAACATAGCCCAACGCACACCTTTGCCCCAACCCTGCTTCCTCCTTGTCTCCTTAGATTCTGGAAGTGAATCCCGCTTGTCCGGCGAGGCTCTCGACCACCCCAACTTGCCACATTTATGGCACCTTTCTGAAAAGGTGCGCGAAAGAGCGTCGGCCACACCTCGTCGCTCACGCGCCCCGTCTCCGGATCCTTCATCTCAGCCCTGGCTTTGTCCACCTGCAGCCAACTTGATTTGTGCTCTTGCACGTTGCACATGGTTCTGTCAAAGGCCATTGTGACAACGGCCACTCCATGCCTGTGCCGAATCATGCGGGCTCCACTTCAACCACACAAACTTGTTTCTTGCCACGCAACCTTGACTGATTCTGCAGGAGATTGAGGGTATCAACAAATGCAAGCGTCTCGCCTGGTCATGCGTCGGCGACATTTGGGCGGTTCTTGTCTCGGTCGCAGCAACGCCCACCTGCAATCCACGCATGCATTCCTGCTTGCACCCACTAGCAATGGGTGCAGCATGCAGCTACTATCTCAGCGGACACTTGGCAAGGTCTGGACCCCACCAACTAGCAACTCACAAGGTCATGCCATGGTATTGCAATGCCCAGCTGCAATCCCAACATAGCCCAACGCACACCTTTGCCCCAACCCTGCTTCCTCCTTGTCTCCTTAGATTCTGGAAGTGAGTCCCGCTTGTCCGGCGAGGCCCGACCACCCCAACTTGCAACATTTATGGCACCTTTCTGAAAAGGTGCGCGAAAGAGCGTCGGCCACGCCTCGTCGCTCACGCGCCCCGTCTCCGGAGCCTTCATCTCAGCCCTGGCTTTGTCCACCTGCAGCCAACTTGATTTGTGCTCTTGCACGTTGCACATGGTTCTGTCAAAGGCCATTGTGACAACCTGTACCGAATCATGCCGGCTCCACTTCAACCATACAAACATGATTCTTGCCACGCAACCTTGACTGATTCTGCAGGAGATTGAGGGTATCAACAAATGCAAGCGTCTCGCCTGGTCATGCATCGGCGACATTTGGGCGGCTCTTGTCTCGGTCGCAGCAACGCCTACCTGCATGGATTACCTGCTTGCACCCTCTGGCTGTGCGTGCAGCATGCAGCTACTATCTCAGCGGACACTTGGCACTGTCTGGGCCCCAACGCACTAGCAACTGACGGGGTCCCCAACATATCCCAACACACACCTTTGCCCCAACCCTGCTTCCTCCTTGCCGCACCCCTCAAGTCTCCTTAGATTCTGGAAGTGAGTCCCTTGTCCGGCGAGGCCCTCTCGACCACCCCAACTTGCCACACTTATGGCACCTTTCTGGAAAGGTGCGCGAAAGAGCGTCGGCCACGCCTCGTCGCTCACGCGCCCCGTCTCCGGATCCTTCATCTCAGCCCCGGCTTTGTCCACCTGCAGCCAACTTGATTTGTGCTCTTGCACGTTGCACATGGTTCTGTCAAAGGCCATCGTGACAACGGCCACTCCATGCCTGTACCGAATCATGCGGGCTCCACTTCAACCATACAAACATGATTCTTGCCACGCAACCTTGACTGATTCTGCAGGAGATTGAGGGTATCAACAAGCGTCTCGCCTGGTCATGCATCGGCGACATTTGGGCGGCTCTTGTCTCGGTCGCAGCAACGCCTACCTGCATGGATAACCTGCTTGCACCCTCTGGCAGTGGGTGCAGCATGCAGCTACTATCTCAGCGGACAATTGGCAAGGTCTGGACCCCAGAAACTAGCAACTGACAAGGTCATGCCATGGAATTGCAATGCCCAGCTGCAATCCCAACATATCCCAACACACACCTTTGCCCCAACCCTGCTTCTCCTTGCCGCACCCCTCAAGTCTCCTTAGATTCTGGAAGTGAATCCCGCTTGTCCGGCGAGGCCCTCGACCACCCCAACTTGCCACACTTATGGCACCTTTTTGGAAAGGTGCGCGAAAGAGCGTCGGCCACGCCTCGTCGCTCACGCGCCCCGTCTCCGGATCCTTCATCTCAGCCCCGGCTTTGTCCACCTGCAGCCAACTTGATTTGTGCTCTTGCACGTTGCACATGGTTCTGTCAAAGGCCATTGTGACAACGGCCACTCCATGCCTGTACCGAATCATGCCGGCTCCACTTCAACCACACAAACTTGTTTCTTGCCACGCAACCTTGACTGATTCTGCAGGAGATTGAGGGTATCAACAAATGCAAGCGTCTCGCCTGGTCATGCATCGGCGACATTTGGGCGATTCTTGTCTCGGTCGCAGCAACGCCTACCTGTATGGATTACCTGCTTGCACCCTCTGGCAGTGGGTGCAGCATGCAGCTACTATCTCAGCTTGGCACTGTCTGGGCCCCAACGCACTAGCAACTGATGGGGTCATGCCGAGGTATTGCAATGCCCAGCTGCAATCCCAACATATCCCAACGCACACCCTTGCCCCAACCCTGCTTCCTCCTTGCCGCGCCCCTCAAGTCTCCTTAGATTCTGGAAGTGACTCTCGCTTGTCCGGCGAGGCCCTCTCGACCACCCCAACTTGCCACATTTATGGCACCTTTCTAAAAGGTGCGCGAAAGAGCGTCGGCCACGCCTCGTCGCTCACGCGCCCCGTCTCCGGATCCTTCATCTCAGCCCTGGCTTTGTCCACCTGCAGCCAACTTGATTTGTGCTCTTGCACGTTGCAAGAGAATCTGTCAAAGGCCATTGTGACTACCGCCACTCCATGCCTGTACCGAATCGTGTGGGCTCCACTTCAACCATACAAACCTTGCCATGCAGCCTTGACTGATTCCTCTCATAATTTTGACAAAGCACATTAAAACCCGCTTGGTAGGCTCACTCAGCTTGAGAGACATGCCCATGTTCACAGTTTCTCACGCAGGGTCTGAAAAACATCGCTGTCAGAAACAATGAGCATTCAATCACGGTCTAACCTAGGAGATGCGCTAAGCCGTACTACACATTCCTGCGCCATATCCTCTCACACGCGCCTCATCGATGGGCAGGCCGCTTCCATACTCAGCATAAAAATCATCGAACAAAGTTCATGGCGAATTCATGTTGTAGCACGTGGTGAAACTCCAACAAGTTTGATCATCCTCGTCTGGTTCCCTCTTTCCCGGTCCAATTGTTCGAAACCAAAATGCCCCAATGCTGATGAGAAGCCCAAACAGAGCAGGGTTTCTCAAAAGACACATCCAAAATTCATCTGATCCTCCACATTAGCTGTTCAGCATGGAACCAATTTACTGCACCTGGGCAAATTATGATACTGCAATTCACCTCAAAGGACCTTCATATGTGTGAGCTTGTTTTACCCATCCTATCAGTATACCCCACCAGGGCAAACGTAGATGGCACATTGGTGTTTCATGTGGGTAACTGAAAAATATTGGTTCTCCACCATATGCAACCACAGAGGTACCGCACCAGTACCGTTTTCACTCGCCATCTGCGTTGGCTCCGAGACCCCGGCATAGGCCGCGGTGGACACTGCCTGCATCCGGCCCTTTTCAGCTCCGTGAATGCAAGGCTCTCCGTGGGAAAAGCAGAAAGCAACCGAAAATGCATTTATGGGGGTCCCCTTTCAACATCATCCCGAAAGGAAGCTCACCTTACATTGGCCGCTTAGTGACGTCTGAACCCACTCCTTTTGTGGGGAAGTACAGGGAACTCTGAACGGAAGACTCCTCATGCGTCAAAATGTCCCAGGACCTGGTAAGGCATCTGGGTGTGAGGATCCCTAGCTTCATTCCCAAAACCCCTCTTCTGAGAATCAGCCAGATGTGGCAGCGGTTGATATGCTAATTTGGATGTTCAATAGTGTTCACAAGGTTTCCCCCTTTCAAGCAAGTCTTGATACCTACCTTTCATATGAGTTCTTGATATCACGGCAGGGCGCCACAGCCAACCAAAAACACATCCACTGAGCGCAAAGCTGGTCGTCGACTCTTCTCGAAGTTAGACTTATCCTGGGAGCGCCGAAACTTGATCGCCACCCTTGTCCCCCAAACGATTCCGCAGATTGCGGCGAAAGCCTTGCGCGCAAGTGGCATTTTGGTGGGCCCCCTTGTTTGAGCACCTCTTGTTTAAGCCTCCGCCTTTGGGTCCCAATGAAATAGATCCCCTGGCCGCAAACTGTCTTCGGAATCAATATAAGGTCCCGAGACCTCAAGCACGCCTCGTTTTGGTTGAAGCGGCAAACACAGCCTTTTGCTCCCGCAACTTTTATTGCCCTGCCGCATGGAATACCATCAGCCAAATCATGGGATTTCCTTCGTGAAGAGAAACTGAGATTGTGTCCCACTCCAGGGAAAGTTCTTATGCATGGATTTCGAACGACAAAGCCTTGTGGTCTCGGTCAGTGCTTGCAAGCAACCCACCACGACAGGCAAGGTTCTGCTACCTTTGATCTTTTTCATAAAGGCCCGTTTTCCAGTAAATGGGGAATCAATCGGTCCCAACTTGGGGCGGAATCGAAGGCTCCCAGCCTGACCTATCCAAAAGGCTCCATATTTTTTGCCTACATGTTCCAGCACGTGCTCTTCTCCAAAAGACTAGCATCGCCACAGAAATCAGGGTGTGGGAGCTTGACGGGGTCACGTCGCCGAAAGCGCGAAAGCGCTCTCCGGCCTTGGCCTGAGTTGGCGACTGCCTTCCTGGCAACGAAAATTAAACCTCTGCTATCTGATATGTTTGTTTCACCCAGGGAATCCTAACCAGTGATAGCAACCACTTAGGTCGCCCAACTTGGTACCAAGACCCGATGCTTCGAGTTTGCCTTTCGTGTTGACCATGGGTGGTTTCCTCTGGTTGTATGTTAGCTGACTTCGCGCAGGTGATCAGAGGCGACAGGACCTTCCCGGTGATCTCGTTTTACCGCTCACCGGAGAAAAAAGGAAAACACCAATGAGGTTGAGTAGCGAAAAGCACCTCTGCCTCCAAATCTCCTGCAAATTCCTTGCGCTAACAGATCTCCTGGATGAAAGGTCGTGGAATTAGCATCGTTCCCTGCGGCATGTGACTGACTTGCACTTCACCATCCTTCAGGAGCGCCCAAAAAAAAAAAACTCCAGCAGACACAACGCCGGACGCTCGGCTCGGATCCGCTCCTGCAGCTTGAGCTTGGGGGCGCTGAGCGCCTCGCGGCGCGCCGCGGCGAGCCGCTGCTCCGCCGCCTTTTTGTGGCTTGGGCCAAGGGCCAAGCGGGGGGGGGGGGGCTGGGGGGTTCTTCTTGGGTTTGGGGCGGAGACCTGGTGGAATATTCATGGCTTTGGTTGGCTTGCATGTCTGTGGCAGGGAGGAATGGGAGCAAGCTGTTTAAGATGGCTTCCAAACTAAGACCTTGGTGGATGCCCAAGTAGGAAACTTGAAACCAGGAACATCTTGTGACTTCCCATGGCTTTGTGGCTGGCTTACTTGCAAAGGTTGCATCTTTTTGGGGTTTGGTCTAAATGGGTTTGAGTTTGAGGGTCCGACCAAAAAACATAGTGACAATCCTGAATTGGTGTTGTTGCCGTTCCACACAAGCACATTGGTACAGAAAATCGCCCTTCCTTTCCTACTGCGTTTTGGACGCTTCCAACGCCTTCAGGTGCGTAGTTCATGTGGTGTGCCTCCTCAAGACTATGGAATGGCAGTTGTTGTTTGTTTTTACCAACATGTCTTAAAGACATGGATTGTTGGATTCTTTGTTTCTTCAAACAAACCCCAATGTTGTCATATCCAGCTACCCTCAAACTACACAGGTGAGTTGCAATCAAAACTTGCAAAGGAGTCGATCAAAACAAAGAGAACAACACAAGGCAACAAAACGGGGGAAAGCCTTTTTGCACGTGCGTCATACTACACTGCAACTACCCCATTGGTTTGAACTGTCTCCCCTTTCACGTGCTATGGCGCCAAGAGGCCCTGATTGTCTTCCATGGGCTCGTGTTGTTAGTCACGTTCTCCGTATCTGTGCCCCAGCCTTTCTTCTTGGCCGCGCGAGCCTCGTGTGCGAATGGATCTCCACAAGGCGGTAGAAGTATGTATAGATACATACAATCATGCACATAGCCTGTGCACTATACCTGTAAAGTGGTATGTAGCCAAGGTGATTCCAAAAAGGCTGAGGCCCACTCGAGGAAACCTCACTAGGCGTTAGCAACTGACAATAGCTGAGAAAAACACACATCTCTGTTGACCCTCTCCCGTGTCAGAAATGCGTGCTTGCAGCCTCGCAACATGTCCCCCCCCCCCCCCGGTCGCCTAAAAAAGGGTCCCCAGGAATGTTGGCACTGTTGCAGGGGGGGACACACTGAGGAAGATCCAACATTAAGCGGGTGAGCGTATGTTGAACACAAACAATCTAGACTTTAATCTAGACCAGACGCAAAGAAGGGGGTCACAGCAATTCCAAGGCCGTTGCAAAGAGTGCCCCTGGGAACCGCCATGATTGGAGTGAGGCTCTGGCAAACAAACACATGTCTGTTTCTTTGAAACTGCGCTCCAGGCTCATGCGTAACCCTTATGAAGGTCTGCCCCTGAGAGGTCTGAGGGTCCTCCCCAGAAGCGCCCAAGGTTCCCTTACAAACCTCGCCCCAAAGGCAACTCACTTTACACTGGCCCAAGGGGTAATGTTCAAAACCAACAAAGGGGGAAACATGGCAATCCCAAGCCCAAAAAGGAAAAAGGGTACCCTCACATACAGGAAACCCTGGATGAATCACTCTGGCTGATTAACAAGGGGGGGTGTCCCATTCAATAGGAAATCATCCACCATTTGTTGGGAGACCGCGTTGACTAGTCCCGATCAACGTGAGTGGTCTAACATCCCTATGTTATTAACGGGTCCATGACCGTCCTGATCAACCCCAAAAATATCTGCTGGTTCAGAAAGGGTTGGCGTTTCCCGATCAACCTACTACTGCCCACGCGGGAGCAGCCCCGGTAAGGACGGACAAATCCGGCAGATTGCCTTCGGATAGGCAAATGATATCCCCTTCATTGATGATTTTCCCGGGACACGCCGAAGGCAATGTATTGAAAACAGCTTTTTCAGTTGGGGTGCGACCACCCTTCCATACATTGACTTCACAACAGGATCACATTGACTTTATTGTTTTGAAGCATCTCCACATTGTTTGGGTGAGGACCAGCAGCATTGCCCCTCTTCCGCCTTGGCCACCCTCCTCTGGATGGTGGAGCGGTCCTTCGAACCCCGGCAGGAGGTTGACGTCCAAGGCTGGTTCTTTGGACAGAACATTTCCTAGCTTCGAGAGGCGCCTGCTCTCCTTAACCTTGGCCTTGAATCATGTTCTCTCACGAAATCTTGGTCTTTTGAGCCGTGCATGAACCCATTGAAGTCCGTTTGGGCCAACTAGAGGTTGATGCCAGGGCGTTTATGCATTCATAGGTTCCACCTTTGACGCCAGGCGTCTTTTCTGTACACCAAAAAAGGGCGGTTTCAACAGTTTGAAGACTTGTCTTCCAAACTATGGTGCCTCTTGGGACCACATAACTCCCGCTGGCCTGTGAGGCGAATGAAGACACAACCCGTAAACAAGATCAGGGCTGCCCAAATCTGCCCTTTGTGACTCTATACTTATACTTTGGACATCATGTCTTGCTTGACACCAAAATGAAAGTAGCTTACAATTGGCCGAGAAGGTGCCTTTACAACAATTCCCTTGGACGTGAACGCCTGCTTGCGTGCATGTGTGCGGACGAGCGGGCGGGTGCGGGAAGGGTGCGGGCCAGCGGGCGGGTGTGTGGGTGTGCACATGCATGTGTGTGTGTGTGTGCACATGCAGTACAAACCACCTGCAGAACCAGGTTTGTCAAAATGCGTGGAATTCATGCACGCCAGCAGTGAACGGGTTTGCGGCGGTTGCCCCAGACCAGGTGGCTTTCAGCTACGTTTGTCGTGAACGGCGTTACTGACCTATCGGTTCACAGCGGACATCAGTGGACGCATTCGCCTGACGCACAGAGGTTTGCGGCGGTTGCCCCAGACCAAGAAGCTTTCAGCTACGTTCGTGTATGTACCCCGATTTGTCAAATCCGTGCAATTCGTGCATGCCGGCAGGGGGCAGCCGGAAGAGTATGTGGGCGGCTGCCAACGAAGACCCCACAAACTTTTCGTGAAACGTACCTGCCTGAGAGCTGCTCCTGGGTCCCGTCGCGGGCAGCTGGAGGGCTCACCCCTAACAATAAATTCGCGGGGGCCTAGGGGGGAGAGGTGTGCCACTGACTTTTGGGCGACGGATCACAGTGGCGGGGGAACTGGGGGGGGGGGGGGGGGGGGGGGGGGGGGGGGGGGGGGGGGGGGGGGGGGTGGGGGCGAGGGGGGGGGGGGGGGGGTGGGGGGGGGGACATTTCATCTCATGTTTACGTGTTTGAACGTTTGGTGTTTGACTGCCGACGTGGCATTCCCAGTGTGTCTGGCTGTGCTTTCTGTCAAAGTGCGCAGTCCTAGCAGCTTGCCTGCTAGAGAACCCTGTTTATCTCACTAGA